GCCTGTAATCCCAGCACTTTGGGAGGCCGAGGTGGGTGGATCACAAGGTCAGGAGATCCAGACCATCCTGGCTAACATGGTGAAACCCTGTCTCTACTAAATGTACAAAAAATTAGCCGGGTGTGGTGGCAGATGCCTGTAGTCCCAGCTACTCAGGAGGCTGAGGCAGGAGAATGGCGTGAACCCGGGAGGTGGAGCTTGCAGTGAGCTGAGATGGTGCCACTGCACTCCAGCCTGGGCGACAGAGCGAGACTCCATCTCAAAACAAACAAACAAACAAAACCCAACAACAACAACAAAAACCAATTCCGGATCTCTCAGCCAGTTGTTTAATCACCTGTACCTTGAAATTCGGCACGGTGGGAGCGTTTATATCATGGAAATTGACAAAAGTCATATAGGAGGACTTTAATTTTATTCCAGAGAGCTCCTTTACTGCGTATGGATTCCGGGGCCATGAAAAGGCAGAGAAAACCAGAGAGCAAGAGCTGCCAGATGGAGAAGACAAGAAGATATGAGAGTCCTAAGGCCCTGTCCGGGGTCCTCGGGGGTCCCCTTTCTCTCTTTCACATACACAGCATTGTGCTGGAGCCAGCTCCTGAGCTGCTCAACCTCAGAACTAAAATGGCCTTGAGCCAGGTGTGGTGGCGCATGTCTGTGGCCCCAGCTACGTGTGAGACTGAGGCATGAGGATCCCTTGAGCCCCAGAGATGGAGGCTGCAGTGGACTGAGATTGTGCCACTGCGCTCCAGCCTGGGTGACAGAGCCAGAACTTGTCTCAAAAAAAAAAAAAAAAAAAGCCTCATATCTGCCAGAAGTTGCTACTTTCTTCTCACAGAAGCATAGCTAGGGTTTGTCAGAGACTTTATTTATTCCCCACAGAAGGGGAAAGTCCCAGATGTCTGCGGGGGTGCATTTCCCCTTGGTCTGAGGTGTCCAAAATGCAGCAGGTGGCGCTCAGGCATCAGTCCCCCATAGGCAGCCACAGGGCCTTGGTCCGCGCCGATCGCAGCCCCAGCTCCGGGCCTGCCCCCTCGGCCTCGTGGTCCCAGGCCCGCAGGCAGCCCCTGTTCACCCACACCGGTTTGAGGTTTCCTGCTGAGGCCCACTCCACAAACTGGGAACCCTGAGGTGGGGACAGAGGGGGGTCAGCACTTCTGCGGGCTTGTTGCTAAGCACCTGCTTCCTCCGCGATGAGGACTGTTACTGATCAGGGGCTTCAGGCTGGACCTATGCTCTGTAGCTACAGTGCTCAGTTCCTTCCAAGCAAAACTTCCAGATGGCAGGGAAAGGCATTTGACCCAGGGGTTAGGGAATTTCCTCTCCCTTAACAGCCCATGTTGAGAGGAATGAGGCCCAAGGCTCTTGTCAACAAGTTCACATCTGTTACCAACAGGTGATTTAAGAGAGTGGACAGTGGGGCGCCGTGACTCACTCCTGTAATCCCACCACTTGGGGTGGCTGAGGCAGGCAGATCACACGAGGTCAGGAGTTTGAGACCAGCCTGGCCAATATGGGGAAACCCCATCTCTACTAAAAAAAACCCCCAACAATTAGCCAGGCATAGTGGCGAGTGCCTGTAGTCTCAGCTACTTGGGAGGCAGGAGAATCACTTGAACTCGGGAGGCAAGGGTTGCAATGAGCCGAGATCGTGCCACTGTATTCCAGCCTGGGCAACAGAGTGAGACTGTCTCAAAAAAATAAATAAATAGCGGTGGCTCACGCCTGTAATCCCAGCACTCTGGGAGGCTGAGGCGGGCGGATCACGAGGTCAGGAGATCAAGACCATCCTGGCTAACACGGTGAAACCCCTTCTCTACTAAAAATACAAAAATAAATTAGCAGGGCGTGGTGGCGGGTGCCTGTAGTCCCAGCTACTTGGGAGGCTGAAGCAGGAGAATGGCGTGAACCTGGGAGGCGGAGCTTGCAGTGAGCCGAGATCACCCCACTGCACTCCAGCCTGGGCGACAGAGTGAGACTCCGTCTCAAAAAAACAAAATAAAATAAAAATAAATAAATAAATAAAAATTAAAAAAAAAATAAAAAAAAGAGCAGACTCAACCAGTCTGCTCCAGATCACTTGAGCCCAGGAGTTTAAGATCAGCCTGGCCAACACAGAGAAACCCCTGTCTCTGCAAAAGAAAAAAATTAGCCGGGCTTAGCTGGGCATGGTGGTGCATGCCTGTGGTCCCAGCTACTCAGGAAGCTGAGGTGGGAGGGTGACTTGAGCCTGGGAGGTTGAAGCTGAAGTGAGGTATGATTGCATCTGGGTGACAGGGTGAGGCTCTGTCTTAAAACACACACACACACACAAAAAACACTGTACACTGTGGGCCTCCAAATCTAGGGTGTGGTCCTTAGCAACGGGCTGTCCACTGAGATGAGGTCTTCGGGCTGGACAGCTCTCAGGCCCTTGTTGCTAAGGACAGCCTCTTCCTTAGTAACTGGAGTACTAAGGGCGGGGCCTCAGAACCTTGTTGTCAAGGAGTTTCTCCCCTTAGCAACAGGAGTTCTAAGAGGGCGGGGCTGTGTTTCCGGAAAAGGAGGAGCCTGTTTGAAGTTTGAGATGCTGAAAATGGTAAAACAGAACAAAGAGCACCTGGGCGGATCCGAAATACCACATGGCCTGGACGTCCTGGTGCAAGGCCAGGCAGCGGGTCAGATGGTCCCGGTCTCCTGTCACCACGTTGGCCAGGCCTGCTGGGAACAGGGTGGCCATGTCCTAGGGGATGCAGAGAGTGGGTGGGTTGGGAGGGCCGTGGGGGCAGGGCAAGGAGTGGGCATCCAGGGGGTGGCCATGGGAAGGAATGGGACGGGGGTAGGGGGGGCGGTCTTGGACGAGAAAGCCCCAGGTCTGGGCTGAAGAATGGGCACTGGGTCCCCAAGGAGTGAAGGTTTGGATGCTGGGGCTGTGGGCAGCATGCGTACCACGGAGGGTGCGGTAAGAGCCAAGCTCCTGCCGAGTTTGGGCGTTTTTCTGCTGCCCTGAGGCTACCGGGAGGAGAGGCAGGAAGGCAGGGGGATATACCTGGCAGACCTCCAGGGCCAGCAGGGGACAGGCCGCGCTGGGCACCATGACCACAGTGTTGCCGTAGGCCAGGGCGGGAGCCAGGAGGGACACGAAGGCAAGCAGGGGCCACTCGTCCGGACACACCACAGCCAGCACACCCAGCGGCTCCCGCAGGCGCAGCACAGGGCCTCTCAGCCCCGCTACCTGCAGGGACAGGCGGGTCACGCGTGGGGCAGGGGAGCCCCGCCCACAGTGAATGAGAGACCGAGTTCCTCCACGTCCTTCCCAACACCTGGTGTTGTCCCAAACCGCACCCTTGTGGAAGCCCCCGCCATTGCGCAGACTCTGGTCAAAGTGAATCATTCCACAGGGGTTCGGGCGGTGAGAAACATCCTGCGCAACCAGCCTTCCTTCCTTCCTTCCTTTCCTTCCTTCCCCTTCCTTCCTTCCTTTCCTTCCTTCCCTTCCTTCCTTCCTTTCCTTCCCTTTCTTCCCTTCCTTCCTTCCTTCCCTTTCCTTCCTTCCCTTCCTTCCATTTCCTTCCTTCCTTCCCTTCCTTCCTTTCCTTCCTTCCCTCCTTCCTTTCCTTCCTTCTTCCCTCCCTCCCTCCTTCCCTTCTCTGTTTTTTTTTGAGATGGAGTCTTGCTCTGTCGCCAGGCTGGAGTGCAGTGGCACGATCTCAGCTCACTGCAACCTCCGCCTCCCAGGTTCAAGTGATTCTTCTGCCTCAGCCTCCCGAGTAGCTGGGATTACAGGCGCCTGCTACCATGCCCGGCTAATTTTGTATTTTTAGTAGAGATGGGGTTTCACCATGTTGGCCTGGTCTCGAACTCTGGACCTCAAGTGATCCACCCACCTCGGCCTCCCAAAGTGTTGGGATTACAGGCGTGAGCCACCGCGCCTGGCCAATTATTGTATTTTTAGTAGAGATGGGTCTTTACCATATTGGCCAGACTGGTCTCGAACACCTGATCTCAAGTGATCCAGCCTGCCTTGGCCTCCCAAAGTACTCGGATCACAGGCGTCAGCCACCGCGCCTGGCCCACTCTTATGTTTTTTCTCCTCTTTTCCTTTTTTTTTTTTCCTTGAGACAGGGTCTTACTGGGTAGCCCAGGCTGGAGTGCAGTGGCATGATCACAGCTCACTGTTGCCTTGACCTCCCAGGCTAAAGCAATTGTCCCACCTCAGCCCCCTGAGTAGCTGAGAATACAGGTGTGTACCACCAGGCCCAGCTAATTTGTTGTTTTTTGTAGACATGAGGTTTCATTGTGTTGTCCAGGCTGGTCATGAACTCATGGGCTCAAGTGATCCACCTACCTCAGTCTCCCAAAGCACTGGGATTATTTTCTTTTGTTAAAAAGAAATACGGTGTTAGGGGGTGGGAGGCAAGGGGAGGGAACTTAGAGAACTGGTCAGTAGGTGCAGCAAACCACCATGGCACGCGTATCCCTATGTAACAAGGCTGCATGTTCTGTACACGTATCCCAGAACTAAAGTAAAATAAAAATAAAAAAGAAGGCTGGGCGCAGTGGCTCACACCTGTAATCCCAACACTTTGGGAGGCCGAGGTGGGCGGATCACGAGGTCAAGAGATCGAGACCATCCTGTCTAACACGGTGAAATCCCATCTCTACTAAAAAAAAAAAAAAAAAAAAAAAAAAATTAGCTGGTCATGGTGACAGGCGCCTGTAGTCCCAGCTACTCGGAAGTCTGGGGCAGGAGAATGGCATGAACCTGGGAGGCGGAGCTTGCAGTGAGCCAAGATCGCGCCACTGCACTCCAGCCTGGGCGACAGAGCGAGACTCTGTCTCAAGAAAAGAAAGAAAGAAATATGGTTTGGCCCATGATAGAGTTTGGATGTCCCACCCAAATCTCATGTTGAAATGTAATCCCCGGCCAGGTGTGGCGGTTCACGCCTGTAATCCCAGCAATTTGGGAGGCCGAGGCAGGCAGATCACCTGAGGTCAGGAGTTTGAGACCAGTCTGACCAACAAGGAGAAACCCTGTCTCTACTAAAAGTACAAAATTAGCTGGGCGCAGTGGCGCATGCCTGTAATCCCAGCTACTCGGGAGTTTGAGGCAGGAGAATTGCTTGAATCTGGGAGGCAGACCAATGAACTGAGATCGCACCATTGCACTCCAACCTGGGCAACAAGAGTGAAACTCCGTCTCGGGAAAAAAAATAAAAAAAAAGAAATGTAATTCCCAATGTTGAAGGCAGGGCCTGGTGGCAAGTGATGGCATCATGGAGGTGGATTCCTCATGAATGGTTTAGCACCATCCCACTTGCTACTGTCCGCGAAATAGTGAGTTCTCCTGAGATCCAGTTATTTAAAAGTGTAGCACTGGAGGCTGGGCGTGGTGGCTCATGCCTGTAATCCCAGCACTTTGGGAGGCCGAGGTGGGCGGATCACCTGAGGTCTGGAGTTCGAGATCAGCCTCAACATGGAGAAACCCCGTCTCTACTAAAAATACAAAATTAGCCGGGCATGGTGGCACATGCCTGTAATCCCAGCTACTTGGGAGGCTGAGGTAGGAGAATTGCTTGA